CTTTTTTAGTGCAGAGTGTCTGAAGACTGCTACTAAAAATCTAAATTTTAAACTTTATGGTGCTGGTGGATTTCTTGTTCCTGTTACATAATTAAACATGAGATTATGCATGGTTTTATAGAACCCTGTGAGTTTAAAATGCTAAACATTAAGAAATTGCGAAGTCTTATGTTTAGTCGATGTCTATACCTTTAACAATAAAACTAGAAATAATACAGAGTAGCAAGAATTAGTTCTGCCAGCCTTTCAAGGTGTGTTCAATTATCTTTTGTCAAAGAAATTAATTTTAAATACAAAAAGAACAACTGTCTTTCAGGCTTTCAAGACCAGATGTATTAAAGGGTATTTCAAATACTTGGATAAAATATTAAGGTCTCCTGCCTGAAGGGGAGTTAGCTAAAACAATGTGTGTAACATGTACAAAAATCCTTGGCAGTTTGCTTTAGTTTTAGACTTTACTAATTACCAACCTTCGTTTAATTCAGTTTATTAGCCAATAGCTGTTGCAGAAAACATTACAATGGAATCCTTGTTTCCTGTCAGTGAGGGCTTTCTCATAGGTCCTACTTCGTTGGATTTAGCAAGTTGAAAAAAAAAAAAAATGAGTTGATGAGTTTATCTCTAGTAGTTACTATCTTTTAGAAGACAGACATTTTTGTGTTTTTTTATTTGGTTTGTTGCTGTTGTTTGGTTTTTGGTTTTTGAGATAAGGTCTCACTGTAAGTTCAGTCTGCCCCTGAACTTACTACGTAGCCCAGGCTGGCCTCATATTTGGGGCAGTCCTCTTGCCTCAGCCTCCCGAGTGCTGGGATTACAGGCATGCGCCACCATGCCCGGTGAGAAATTTTTATATATGTTTCTGGTGATATATATTTCCTGAATTATAGCAAAACTTCAATAGGAACATTTTCTATTTAAACCTGCTGAAAAGTTTTAAGAACATTTTTCTTGCCACTATTTCATCCACATGTTATTAGATGAGTTAGGGAATACTTAGTTTTACTTTTTTCCTCCCTTTATTCATTGCTGGTAAATTCAGGGCATGATAGTGATCCTGAAGAGGCTTGGATTTTGGGTAGCTATAGTAGTATCGCTTTGAGTATCCTAAAAATTTTACTTTACTGGGCACAGTGACATACATGTTAGGCTGTGCTAGACTCAGATGTGGGATTCTTCTGCCTCAGCCTCCTAGAGTGCTGGGATCAGTATGCTACTGTGCTTGACTGTAGACATTTTACATGGTAAGATTCCAAGAACTTTTAAAGATTCTATCTCAGTTCCCTAAGAAGTTCCTCTCATTTTTGTGGGTGTGTGTGTGTGTGTGTGTGTGTTTTAAATGAGGCAGGGTTTTGGTGTGTAGTCCAGGCTTGCCTTGAAGCTCATCCTGGCCTCCAGCTGTTGACAGTCCTTCCTCAGCTTCTAAGTGGTGGGATTACAGGTGTGCCCCCACCATGCCTCATATCCTTTGTACCGTATTTTAAGGTGATTTAGCAGGGTTGTAAGGTTGTCATTATGAACTTCAAATTTTTGAGATAGGTCCTTGGTACATCTTCCATTGTGGCTTTGAACTTAAATTCTCCCCAGGCCAGTGAGTGCTGAGATTACAGACATGTGCCACTACACTTGGTTCTGATCAGCTTTTTATGATAATTTTCACTTCAGCAAAAGCAGCTCTTTGGCTAATGGCTACGCCTTTGTTGGGTTCCATTAATAGTTTATGGCTCTGTGTAGCTAAAAGCTTGGGCATTCTGTGGTTTTGAGTTTGAGATGATATTCCTTGATAAGGGCCCTGAGCCTGTTTTTAAGCCAACCGGATATAAAGGACCCTGCCACTCCTAAGTTCTGTGATCCTTAAGATATAAGGCCACAATTAGACAACAGTATGGCACAAACGTGTGAAGTCTTTCTAACTAGTGGTTCTCAAATGTTAATACATGAAAATGAGCTAGAGATGAAAACATTGCAGGGCCTTTCTAATATTCTGATTTGCTACATTTGGGATGGATCTTGATAGCTCATTTTAAACATTTCCCAGGTAATGGTGATGTTAACTATAGCTGTGCTTGGCAGTTGTAACAGGATCCCTGGAATGGTTACTGTCCAGAAAGAAAGCACTTTTTGTATTCCTCTTTTTGTGGGGGATGGTGGTGAGGCAGGGTCTTAATACGTAGTTTGAACTCACTAGTCAAGGTTGGCCACAAGTTCATGGTGATCCTCCTGCTTCAGCATTTTAAGTGCTGGGGTTACAACAGGTGTATGCCACATCTGGCTTATTTTTCTTACAAAGCTAAAAACTAAAGGAAATAATGGAAAGTAGTCACCATTTGGGGCAAATTCAGTGCTTTTTTTTTTTTTTTTTTTTTAGATCATTAAACTATTTTAGGCACTGCGTAGTGTTTTCCCAGGTACAGCTGTTGTAGAAGTATTTTTGTAAACTTGTAATTTCCTGGAGAGATTGATCAGGTACTTCAAAGGTGAGTTGGACACAGAATAAAGTTTCAGGTATTTCCAGGTATTAGTTTTTTTAAGTGGAAAGTTTTTCTTCATAGAACTGGCTAGAAACAGCAAAAGGCAATTATGTCTTGTTAACTACCAAGTGTATATGGACTTAATATTTAAGGGAGGGTGTCCATTACTATAAAGGAATCTCAGGGTTGGGCATGTAGCTTAGCCCAGCATGTACAAGACCCTGAGGGTACAACCCAGCATAGGGAAAAAAAAAAAAACAAATTGCCTTTACTTTGCAATTTGACATTATGAGAGCCTGTGAAAAAGGTTCGAATAGTTACTGGTATAATAGACTGAGACGGCACAGATAATTCACTTTTAGGTTGCTGCTGCTCCTCACAGCCTCCAAGTGTATGAAACCTGTCTTTAAGCAGCAGACTGCACGAAGTCAGCAAGGAGTTGGCTCAGACTAGAGAAGAGGGATTATTTTTACCTTTAAAGTATTCAGCGTGTATATACATATATCGTGATTTTCTGAAAAAAAATCTTTACCTATTCCCCATGTGTACCTTAATTTAACTGTTCATCATGTATATTGATGAAATAACTGAATATTTATCTTTACCTATTCCCCATGTGTACCTTAATTTAACTGTTCATCATGTATATTGATGAAATAACTGAATATTGATGAAATAACTGATGAAATAACAGATTGAAATAACTGTTCATCATGTATATTCATCATGTGTAGATTTGATCTGTTTTAAAATTAGCTTAGTTTTAAATTTCAATAAAAACCTAAGAAAAAGGTTTTTAATTGCTCAGCTTAGGCTTCAATTTAGGTATCCTGCCTCAGCCTCCCAGAGCCACCTTCCCAGGTATCGCCTGCGTATTTCCAGTATCCTCATCTGTAGTGGCACAGTAAGCATTCAAAAGTGTGAATGGTGCACACCTGTGATCCCAGCCCTTAGGAGGATTACTACAACTTTGAGGCCAGCTTGAACTGCATAGTGAGACTACCAAAAACTATAATATATATGTGGACGCTGATAGCTTTATGGACTCTTTGGGTCAGAAGATAAGCCTTTTCTAACATTAAGAAGACTAGAAGGAAGTATATAGTGGGAGCATAATCACTGCCATCTGAGACAACACCGCCCCAAGTCCTAAGGATTGATAAGACCTTCGCACTAAACCTTAGGTTCCCAGCCCTTTTGTGTGGGGGTGGGGTGGGGGTGGAGGGGGGAATAGGCTTTTTGAGTGGTTCACATGAAGCAATCAGGTTTTGGTACATTTCTCAAGATTACCATTAACAAGTATAGTCATCTCAAGTGTCCGAGCTGGTATGCACTCAGGAGGCTGAGACTGGATTTCTACTAATTTGAGGGCAGCCTGAACTATATAGCAAGATCCTGTCTCCAAAAAAAAAAAAAACTATGGATTATCTGAACTCTGCCCTCGATTTTGGTTCTGTTCATACCTCTTCTATCCTTGATCAGTTTTCTTCCAGGTTCTTCACCAGCACTCTTGATGAATTAGTACAACCTGGCAAAGGAGCACGATCTTTCCTGAGAGCCATGTGCTCCTCAAGCAACAAAACCAAACTTGCTCCCAGCTTAGGATACAGTTTCAAGTGTGGATACAGTGGGTGAATCAGGGGTCTAAATGGAACACCTGTTTTGTTTTTTGTAGCTTTGGACTGACCCAAAGCATTCTTCAATAAATGAAATGACTCAGGAGAAAAGTAAGCTGGTTTGTGGGTTCATAATTTCCCGTGGAGAAATTAATAGTTTTAGTGTATATTACAAATTTTTTTGAAGATTCACATATTTCAAGAGTATAGAGATAATTCTTTACATTTCTTTATTTCACCCATGAGAAAGAAATTACTGAGGTTTGTATGTCCCCTTTCCAGTATAATGTATATATCTAGACCTTGCTTTTTTCTTAGACATACAACTCTTAGCTATGTTGCTTAGGATCCCTAGAAATTTGTCTTGGAGCTTGCCAATGATAGCAAGGAAGTCTTAGATAAGGGATAGTTTTAGAGCACCAAGGGTCATAGATGGGATTCTTGAACCTTTTTTTTCTTCCTCTGCTTCAGAGTGGTGTGCCTGTGAGAGTCCAGGCACTTGCAGATCAATTTGCATGGCTTTGCGAATTTGTCTTCATTGTGTTTCTGTCAGCATCTCAACGTGACATCTGTGCATGTCACTTAGTCTGACAATTTCAGTGTGTCTACGTAAGCACGCTACGTTCCTCGTAAGTGTCAATGTTTGAGAGTGAAGGAATTGACTTCTCTTGGTTCCTAGCTCCCTTGCTCACACCATCCCATTCTCGAAGGGTGGGCGGCTCTGGGGACGGGAGAGTGGTCCGTCCCCAAGTCCTGCCTCCCAGAAAGAACGAGACAGGATTCCTGATAAGATCCACTGTGTGTCACCCGTGTGCACAGCCAAGGCAGTTTTGGGCGAGCACACCTGTGGCTCTGGAAGCTGAGACACCTTTGGAGAGACGTTCTCTCTTGCGCCCTCTAGTGGTGTAGGAGGGTAGCGCTCACAGAACGAGAGGGCGGGGCTGGTGGCGGAAGTGAAGTCACTTCCGGGCTGGTGTTTGTTTGGACCGGAGAAGGGAGGCGGCGGGCGAAGCGCACGTCGAGCGGGGGAGCGGCGCTGCCTGTGGAGATCCGCGGAGGCCGACAGGATTCGTTGGCTGCCGTCCCCGCTGCCGTGCACTGGGTGAGAGGTCCCCTCGGGCGGAGCCGCAAGAAGGGGTCGGCGTGCCCAGCGGTCGATGGACAGCACCTCGGCGACGGCCTAGGGGCCTAAAATGCCCTTCGGGTTGGCCATTAGGCGTTTTATGGCGTCCATTGTTTCACGCCCGTTTTTCCGCCATATCTGAGGGATGAGCTTGGGCCGACTTCATTCTTTTCTTCTCTGAGAAATGGCCGTCGCTTTTTTTCTCATTGTCTTTATTTATGATTTAGACCTCGCAACTCTCCATCCGGGTCTTCGGTGGCGCGCGAGGATCGCCGGGATAGGACTTTGTCGCGTTCCTCAACCCCCAGCCTTGCCCCCGAGTTCCCCCCGGGCGGCTACCCTCTCCCCTGCCCCCCACTACCACCGCGGCAACAAAGCTCATTGTTTCTACCGACTTTACGCCTGCGCGTCGCCACGCGCAGCCCCTACCGGCTGCGCGTGCGCGCGCTCGTCCAGGCTGGGGTGGGGGGAGACGCAGGGGCGGAGGGGGTAGCGAGCTGGCGTGGTCCTAAGGGAGCAGTTGCAACGGTCGACGGGCCTGTACATTACCTTGCTGATCTACTTTCTCTGCTTTCTTTGCCATCCGTATTCCTTAGTTTTAGTTTCATTGTACCCCATTCTCCAGAAAGGAGGACCTGTATCTAGGGGTACTGGGGAACCCTTATTCCAGGAGAGCTCTGAACAAGTTGAATTTAAGTTCATTCAGTTCACATTCTTTGATTCTGGTCTTTTAATACTGTGTGTTTGTTCTCCCTCCCCGACACCATGGGGGAGGGAGGTTGTGGCAAAGTTAACATTTTTCAAAACGTTGTTGCCTTATTGGTATCCTTTTGTTGTCTTGAACACTTTCCCGTGATTTTACAGCTAATAGAGATTCATTCTCTTGAAGGAATTTGGCCCATGATTTCCCTTGGGAGACGATCAAAGAGACCCGAAAACCTTTGGTTGTTCATTTCAGTAAAAGAAAAAAATAAGTCCTGCTTTGCGCGTGTTGGCTAGTCTTTTCTTGTACCGTGGTGTCGTTTTTCAAATTTCCTTTGAACAGTTGATCCAGTGTTGGTTGGCATTTTCATTAAATAATCTCAGATTTCATCAGGTGTAGGTTATATTTGCAAATTGGAAAAGGGTCTTTGAGGATTTTTAATGAGATTCCCAGTGTTAACTTTTGTGGTTCTGTTTCTGGTTTTGAAAGACAGGATACTTGGGACAAATTAGTGTGTTCATATTACTTAATTGTGAACTTGAATAAAATTTCTTACAAATAAGTATCACAAATAAAGATAGGTAACGCAAAAAATACCTTGTTTGTGTTTCTTGGGGGAGGCGGAATGGAGAGTGGCTGTAATGGTTAAAAGGAACTCAAATTGAGGTAGGTAATTTCCATCCTCTTTTGGACGGAGTAAATTTTATGATTTACTGCTTGAGTAAGCAGTAAGTCTGTGACTCTAGAAAGTGATGCTCCAGTTTTAGTAAACATTTAGAAGATGACCATTGTTAGCAGAGCAATTTAATAGGTGTTGTAGGAGATTTAAACAAGGTAATCTGCCTGGCATGGTAGCACAAACCTGTAACCCCATGTACTTGGAAGGCTGAGGCAGGAGGTTGGCTAGTTTGATATCAGCCTGGGTAACTTAGACCCAGTATCACAATGTAAAAGAGGGGGAAGTAGCTCAGTCGTAGAACAGTTGCCTAGCATGGATGAGGTTTTTGGTTCACTCTGCATTACTGGAAAAGAAAAATCGCGGGGGAGGTAGGGATAATATTGTTTCCTAACCTTTTGTGGAGTCGCCCTTTTGTTTGTGGGTGGTTTGGGTGTTTTATTTTGTTTTTGTAATTTACAAACTTTTATATTCATTATCGTGACAGTTTGTGAAATGAACATTCCAAGTTTAAACCTGCCCATTTTGAAGAGATTTTATTTACCAAATACAGAGTATTTGGTAATTTCAGGCTGTGATCTAAATACTTTAACAAATACTGTGTTAACTAATCTTCAACATCTCTAGGAGGCAAAAACTATTGTAAAAATGAAGCTAACAAATGAGAGAGGTGAAGTCACTTGCCCAGTGTCACAGTGACAGCTAATAAGTGTTAGAATTAAAATCCAGGTATTCCAGAGTGTGATATATCCTCTTAACTGCTATACTGCACAGTGCCAAGAATCCTGTAAGTGGTTAGTGGCATAGTTGAGGTTTTAACCTACTTTTTGGGTTTTGGTTTAGGGTTTTTTTTTTGTTTTTGTGTGTGTGTTTGTTTTTTGAGGCAGGGTCTTGCTGTGTCGTTCAGAATGGCCTTGAACTCACTCTGTAGTCTAGGTTGGCCTTGAACTTGGGGGCACTTATCCTGCCTCAGCCTCCCAAGTGCTGGGATGACAGAAGTGTGCCACCATCCCAGCCTCCTACTTTTTGAGTTTTTTTGTTTGTATTTTTGAGTCAGGGTTTCACTTTGTAGTCCAGACTGGCCTTAAACTCACCTCCATTAGCCTCGAACTCACAGTGATTCTCCTGGCTCAGCCTCCCAAGTCCTGGGATTACAGGGGTGTGCCACTACACCCAGTTTGAACCCACTTGTCTAAGACATTGCCTTTGCAGTCAGAACTATCTGTTATACAGGTGCATTAATACTTTTCATTTGGTATAGCCTAAGATTCAGTTCTAATAACATTTGTTTTTGTTAATTTCCTCATTGTTTAGAGCATATGTGGCTATTGAGCACTTCAAATGGCAAGATATGGTAGTGCACACGTGTAATTCTACCTGTTTGGAAGGCTGAGGCAGAAGAATTAAAAATTCAAGCTCAGCCTAGGCTACAAAGTGACCTAGCAAGACCCTCCCAATATAAAAAAATTTTTTTAAATTTCTTGAGGTATAGCCCACTGTAAAGGCCATGCATTCAATCACCAGCACCACAAAAGAAGGACCACATCTAATGAGTGCAAGTGAGCTAATTTTTAAGCCATCTGTACCTAATGGATATTGATTGAAACAGTTTGTGTAAATTAGGGTGCTGTTAACAGTGATGATGGGAATGGGATGAACTGACCTTTTCCTTTCTAATCACCCCTGTTACATTCACTTAAAATTAGGGTTATAACTTCGGGGTTATTGTCATTTTTTTTAACCTCGAAGTACTGGGTATTACACTCAAGAGTGTTCTACCACCAAGCTACATCCCCAGCCCTTTTTATTTTTTTTGAAGGTAAGATCTGGCTGACTTGCACCAGCTGGCCTCAAAATTGTGAACCTTCTGCCTGAACTGGCTGAGTATAGGCTAGTTTGATGCATATTTTTCTTTGACATTGTTTCACTCCTGCAGGTTTGGGACCTGACATTTTTACGTTGTGCCTTGATCTAGACAACTTTATAAATGTTTAATAAACACCAAGATAGACAATACTAATTGTTTTTTGTTTGTTTGGGGTTTTTTTTTGTCTTTTTTGAGACAAGGTTTCGCTATGGAGTTCAGACTGGCCTTGAGCTCACTTTCTAGCCCACGCTGCTCTCGAACTCACAACGAACCTCTTACCTTAGCCTCCTGAGTGCTAGGATTACAGGCTTGAGCCACCCTGCCCAGCTGACAATACTAATTGTTATGTGCTCAGCCTGGGTTCTTTTTTTTTGTTTGAGACAGGGTCTCACTGTGTTCAGGTTGGCCTTAAACTCACTCTGTATTCCAAGATGGCCTTCAACTTGTGCTCATGTCTCAGCCTCCCAAGTACTGGGATTACAGGTGTGCACTATCATGCCCAGTTGTAATCATGCTTTTTTAAATCTTACTTTACATTGCCAAAAATTAAAATAAAAACTTTAGTGCTTTCCACAAACTTGGGGAAAACAGACTGATGGAAAAAGTTCTTAATTACCTTTACTACTGAAGAGACCTCTAATATGCATAAACATCTATACATAGAAAAGAGCCGTATGTAACTAAGGTTAAGGACTCAGTACTCTTCTTTTGCTTGCTTGCTTTTTTCTTTTTTTCTTTTTTTTTTTTTTTTTTGAGACAGGATCTCGCTGTGCAGTTCAGGCTGGCCTTGAGCGCACTTTGTAGCTCAGGCTGGCCTCGAACTCGAAAAGATCCTCCTGTCTCAGCCTCCCAAGTACTGGGATTACAGGCGTGCACCACCACGCCCAGCTAAGGACTCGGTTTCGTGTAGAGTCTAAGGAAATAAGAAAAGGTGATGTTTATAAGACAAATCACTGAAAGAAAGAGAAAACAACTATTTGAATTTTAATAAGAATTTTTAAGAGATGAAGCTGAGGGGTAAGATTATAAAACTTGAACAGTTTCCATATTTAAAAAAAATTTCATAGATAATATAAAAGGACAGTGCTGAAAGCCAGTACATCAATGAGGCATTTCAGGGGGGAAAAATACAGCTGAAGGCATAATTTAGTAAAGTCCTGAGTTTGTAAATTGAAAGAGTTTGCTGACTTCAGGAAATACTAGGAAAAAATTGTTCTTAACCCAAATCTGGTAAAATTTACAAATTTTATGTGTTAAAACATCTTAGCTATCATCTGTTTTTGTAGTGCTGGAGGACTAACCTAGGCCCTTGCTCATCATAACCAGGTGCTCTACCACTGAGTTACATCCCTAAGCCCATAGCTATCTTTTTTTTCTTCAGTTTATTAATTTTTAGATTTGTAAAATTAGTACATTACTGCTGGGCATGGTTGCACATGTCTGTAATCACAGCATTTGGGAGGCTGAGGCAGGAGAACCACCATGAGTTCAAGGCCAGCCTGCATTAATAGCGAGACCCTGTTTCCCGCCAAAAAATAATAAAACAGGTCTAGAGATGTAGTGCAGTGCAAAACCCTGGGTTCCAACCCCAGTGCAAAAAGAAAAAAAAAAGTCATTGTATCTATCAGCTGATGGACATTTGGGTTATGTCTATTTTTAGCTATTGAGAATAATGTAGCTGGGGCTGGGGATTTAGCTCAGCGGCAAAGTGCCTGCCTGGCAAGCACAAGGTC